CAATAGCCCCCCCCCCCCCAAAAGGCAGCAAAAACTCTTTTTTGAGATTATTTGGGAAGAGGGTACAAGACTCCTCACCTGAGAGATACCATGTTTCCTAGTTCTGCTGGTAAACTTCTGAGTTTGTTGGATGAGAGATCCAGGTAAACCAGATTATGAAGCTTGGCAATATCAGGTGGAATGCGAGTCAAATAGTTGTCATTGAGGTGGAGAGCAGTCAAGTGTGTTAGTGACCAAAGTGATGTACTTAAATTGCGCACTCTACCTAAAATCAGAAACATGTATGGAGTGTTAAGAGTTGACTTTTCTCTACAAACTCAACAAGCACACTGACATAATTATGCAACAAAATGTGCCAATCATACAGTGGGGCAAAAAAGTATTTAGTCAGCCACCAATTGTGCAAGTTCTCTCACTTAAAAAGATGAGAGAGGCCTGTAATTTTCATCATAGGTATACCTCAACTATGAGAGACAAAATGAGAAAAAAAATCCAGAAAATCACATTGTCTGATTTTTAAAGAATTTATTTGCAAATCATGGTGTCAACTATGAGAGACAAAATGAGAAAAAAAATCCAGAAAATCACATTGTCTGATTTTTAAAGAATTTATTTGCAAATCATGGTGTCAACTATGAGAGACAAAATGAGAAAAAAAATCCAGAAAATCACATTGTCTGATTTTTAAAGAATTTATTTGCAAATCATGGTGTCAACTATGAGAGACAAAATGAGAAAAAAAATCCAGAAAATCACATTGTCTGATTTTTAAAGAATTTATTTGCAAATCATGGTGTCAACTATGAGAGACAAAATGAGAAAAAAAATCCAGAAAATCACATTGTCTGATTTTTAAAGAATTTATTTGCAAATCATGGTGTCAACTATGAGAGACAAAATGAGAAAAAAAATCCAGAAAATCACATTGTCTGATTTTTAAAGAATTTATTTGCAAATCATGGTGTCAACTATGAGAGACAAAATGAGAAAAAAAATCCAGAAAATCACATTGTCTGATTTTTAAAGAATTTATTTGCAAATCATGGTGTCAACTATGAGAGACAAAATGAGAAAAAAAATCCAGAAAATCACATTGTCTGATTTTTAAAGAATTTATTTGCAAATCATGGTGTTGCTTGTTTGTAGGTGACCAAATACTTATTTTCCACCATGATTTGCAAATAAATTCTTTAAAAATCAGACAATGTGATTTTCTGGATTTTTTTTCTCATTTTGTCTCTCATAGTTGAGGTATACCTATGATGAAAATTACAGGCCTCACTCATCTTTTTAAGTGGGAGAACTTGCACAATTGGTGGCTGACTAAATACTTTTTTGCCCCACTGTATATCAATCAATTATCTCAAGCCAACAGAACTTATCCTATTCAGTGTGAAAATAATATCCTACCATAACCTGCAAGTTCTGTTTGCTATGACTTTTATACATGTGTGTGTGTGAAAGAGAGAGTGAAACTAGCTAAACAAAAGACTAAGATTTATCTTGAAACAGAGTTCAATTTCAGTTAACTAAAGCAGCAGACTCTGCATTTCTTTGAGATGAAAAAGACCAAAAAATTAAGTATTGCCTCTTCTACAAAAACACATCATTTAAAAAATTATTCTCTGTGCATCTGGATTAAAATAAGTCTTTTACAAGGATAAATGTAAAGTTATGTATCTGGGTAGGAAAAATGAAAGTCACAAATATAGGATGAAGGAAACCCAGCTTGGCAATATAAAAAAGATCTGCTAAAAAGGCAAACGATTCCTTGGGGAGCATTAATAGGGGCACAGAGTCCAGGTCACAGGGAGTTAATTGTTCTACTCTCCTTTGCCATAGAATACTGGACCCGGTTCTTAGCATTACAGTTCAAAAAGGACAATGACAAACTGGGGGAAGACATAAAAGTGTACTGGGGAGGAGGGGAGCTTAGAAGACAAACGTCTGACTTCCCTTGCTGACAACTTCTAAAGACAGAGAGATGTTCAGAGAAAAGCTACCAAGATGGTGAGGGGTCTGGAAACGAAACCCCATGAAAACAGTTAACCTATAGAAGTGATGAATAAGGGGAGATATGTTTAACCTATAGAAGTGATGAATAAGGGGAGATATGACAGTACTTTTCAAACATCTGAAGAGCTGTCACATCAAAAAAAGGAGTAAACTTATTTTCTACTGCACCAGAGAGGAGTACTAAATCTAGTGGTTTAAAATTATAAGGAAGCAGGTTCAGGCTAGACATCAGGAGGATTTTCCTGGCTATATGAGTTGTCAACCAGTGGAATAAGCTGCCATATGAAGTAATAATTTTTCCTTTGCTGGAAGCCTTCAAACTGAGACAGATTAGTTATCTGCCAGAGATTCTCTAGTGGACTGTGCACTGATCTAAGGATTGGACTAACTGATCTCTAAAATCCCTTCCAACACTATAATTCTATGAAATAGAGGAACAAATAACAGCCACTGGTAACCCAATCAAAGATGTACAAAATGCAGATCTTTCAAAGAAGTATGACATAAAAGTATACTTGGGAGGGGGGAGCTTAGAAGACAAACTTCTGACTTCCCTTGCTGACAAATTCTAAACATAGAGAGATGTGCAAGCGGATTGATTATCCCTGAGTTGATACTAATCAAAAGGGAAGACTTAGTCAAGGAAGTAGAAGTAGCAGGAATCTTTGGAGGAAAAATAATTATATTACATAATATATATTACATATACAGTGCATTCAGAAAGTATTCAGACCCCCTTCACTTTTTTCAATTTTGTTATGTTACAGCCTAATACTACAATAGTTCAAATTCATTTTTTTCCTCATTCATCTACACTCAGTACCCCATAATGACAAAGTGAAAACAGAATTTTGGAAATGTCTGCAAATTTATTAAAAAGGAAAAACTGAAATATCACATTGGCATAAGTATTCAGACCCTTCGCAACAACACTAGAAATTTAGCTCAGGTGCCTCTTGATCATTGCTGAGCTGTTTCTACACCTTGCTTGGAGTCCACCTGTGGTAAATTAAATTGATTGGAC